AAGCAAGGAAAAATTCAAAACAGAACCAAAAACTCAAAAGCCAAGAGGTTGTGTCTTTCCTAACAGAAAATCACCCTTTGAAGAAAGAAAGGCTCCTCTGTGCAAGTCTTTCAATAAAAGAAACAGCCCCCAGAGGTGTGTGAAGGTGAGGAACAGTGGAGGGAGGGCGGATGAGATGGCCAAGGCGTCCCTGGGGATTCCCAGGTACGAATTAAACCTCTTTCCACCCCAAGCACTCAGAAGCCTCTGACCACCCAGCATCTCCAGGAATTCTCCAGACATAAATCAAGCAGGCAGGCAGGAACTAGCGCAGAAACTGTTGGCTTTAAGAAGTGTCTGCGTCTGTTCAAGAGGAAAAAGAAGCTTGGAGAATATTCCCAATCCCCAGTCACACTCAGAACGTTTCAAGGAACCACAGGCTATCTGAGCAAGAGACAAAGCAGCACCTGACACTGCCCATGAGGGGACCGGTGCCCTGGCCACGCCCTCTGTCCTCCCATCTCCTCGGATGCACTGTCAGACCCATCGCAAAGACTGTGAAGAACCGGCTCGCTTAGCAGAAGGGAGCAAGGCACCAAATAAGCCTTCAGATCCGCCAAAGCAAACAGATCAAGAACACTTCCCAATATTTAGCAAATGTGCTGCCCGTCTTCCTGCCACTGCCCACCCAGGCACCTGCCCCCAACCCCACCCTGGCTCACGCACGCATGTTACCTTTAGGTGCTTCCTGTAATTGTTGTAGACAACAGCCAGAAAGACGGACATGAAGATGTAGGTATTGATGATGACGTAGGTTATAAAGTACAAAGAATACCACCAATTGAAGTCATAGGCAGGCATCCTAGAAGGAAAAATCACGTTTCACAATTTTTCATAGCCAAGTTCCACAATGCAAATGAGCCGGACCTTAGGCGACATCCCACATGCACGGTACATGTGCCGGAGGCACCAGAAAACCTCCAATGCTCACTCTCCCCAGTGTGGTGCAATGGGGCCTCAAAGCCGGCACCATCCCTAATGCTAAACAGCTTGCTCCTGCCCTTCCGGAATTCTTAGCATCTTCCAGAGGCGCCAACTTCCAAAGTGCATAGGGTCTTGGAAATCTCCCAACACAATTCTCCCCCTTCAAAATGAGGAAATCGAGGCCTAGAAAGGAGAGAGACTTGCCCAGAATTACAGAGGAAATCAGTGTGGCTTGGAAGAGGGCTCTGCAGGACACCAGACTACCTGGGCTGGGGGCCAGATAATCTATCCACCCTGTGACAATGAGAATGAAAGGCATCTGTTAATAATCACAGCAGGACAAGAGGTCTAAGTTGGGACGTGTGCTCACTCTACCTTTAATGGGAACTGGATTTCCCATAGGGGTGCTGGCACGGCTGGCAGCCAGGGTCTGAGGGAAGGACCCAGGAGAACACCAGTAGGGCCAGGGCCAGGCCCAAGAGTGAGCAACAACCAAGAACGAGTTGATCTGATGGTCCTGATGGTCCATGATCTGATGGTCACGTCATGGGATGACAGGAATCCTGCCTCTTCCTCAAAGTGCACTGCCGGAGGAGGTGTGGACTGACGTTTGCAGTTAGGCTCTGCCCAGCTCTAGAGCCGAAGAGCTATCTGCTCAGTGTAGCACCGTTTAATAACTTTACCCCTATGCACAAGGTGAATCCATAACGAGAAGGCATTAGGAAAAAACCACGTGGGGATTTTCCTCCTGAGTAATATCTGCATGTGTGGAAAATTGGCATTTTGGGGGAAGGCGGCAACTACTGATGTTTACATTTCCTTCCTGTTTCGTGTAGCCAAAAACCCGTGTCAGTGCTTAGGAGAACCATCCGTGATTCCTTTGCGAAGATGGCTTAGGACTCTAAATTCAAGACTCAAAGAAGATCCCAGAATGGAAAGTGGGCTCAAGTATCAAGTGTTGCGTCTCAAGAGATGTCACCTGTTGCTTTCAATTGTAAAAGAGTTCATTGAAATTTAGTTTTAAATACAGAAGATAGGCTATCAGTAGTGCAAAATTTTTACAATGAATATGACTAAATAGAAAATCGCTTTTTCCTCTCTCAGCCTTGCTCGTGTCAGGAGACAGCTGCTTTTAATAATTCTGTTACCGTAACATGTCCATGAACATGGACCAGGACGCACATACATGACATCAGGGCTGTTTGCTGTAGTGACCAGCACGTAGAGCTCAAACGCTACTTCCAGAATGTTTTCGAGGTAAGGTGATCCCTCTGCTGTTTTCAGACCCCTAAAGAGGAACCAAAAACACCAAGTGAAAACCACACATATATATTAAGCTGTGGTTTCTGATATGCTTTTCCCCTTTCAAGAGCACTCGTGGAGTGTTTGAACGAGGAAGACAGTGTCTGGTGACAGATTCTGCCATGAACAGGCTTAACCCAAATATGGGAGAATTCACAGGCAGAAATTGCCAAGAGTGTACTCGCCTATCTCCAAATAGCTTCAAGGCCATGAGGGAGAAGACCAGCATGCTGAACGTGAACAAGAGGAAGACGTAGAGGATGTCAGGCAGAGTGTTCCGGATGCTTCGGAAAGCCCTTCGGATCTAAGAAGACACAATTTAGTTTCATTTACAAGAAATCAGCTAATTCTCTTCGAAAACAAAAAATGGACCATCACGTATTCTAAATCATATTCTTACCTGACGACTTTCGGGGAAGTTAATTAGGAAGACTGGTCTCAAGGGCCGTGACCACCTAATGCTGCGGATGTTAACAGCATCCAGGGACCCGTAGAGAATCAGGTCAACCAAGGTCAGCTGTGAGACACATGGGACAGAGACATCAGTTCTACCCCATCAAAGGACAGAGAAAGTAACAATGTGGATGTATGTTTACCGACCCAGAAGGAGAGTCATAATGTTATGTGAAAAAGCAAGTTTCATAAACAGCACAATTTTAATTTTGTGATATAACGTTAACAGTAGCTAATGTTTGAGGTTTTACTACATGTCATATAGCACAAAAAGCACCTTTTGTAGATTATTTCATTTTAGCCACACCACACCAATTAGGTGGGCGCTATCCCCGGATGGAAGGGGTTGAGGCACAGAGAGGGTAGGCACGTGGTCCCGGTCACACAGCCAGTGAGGCACAGAACTGGGACTCGAACCTGCACAGTCTAACGTCCCAGCCCTTGCTATTAACTCTACTGCCATGTGCTCCCACACTATGCCTGGTGACCTTTTCTTCAACCTGATGTGTAAAAGAGAGGCTGTCTAGCCTAGTAATAGGTGAGAAGATCTAGAATACGGAAAATCCTTATTTATCCTTATTATTGTCAGATTTGTGGGCAAAAGATTAATGTGAGGATGGGACAAAAAAAGAACCTAGAGTCTTTTTAGAAAAATATAAGTAAAAAAGAAGGAGGGGAGGAAACAGCTCCAGAGACATCTTGAGGGGCCTTGGGGAGGCCGGTGTGGGAGAGAAGGGAGGGAACCGTGACGATGAGGATTGTGGAACTGGGCGATGTGAGACAGAGCCCCGTGAGCAAAGGGAAGGCAGCCAGGGAGTCGCTGGGAAGCAGAGGCGGGTTTGGTCCCATTGCACGTGAGTTGAAATACTGCTGTGGGAATGGCCAGCAAGCAGTCGGCCACAGAGTACGGAAGCTCAGAGGGGAAACCAGTATCAGAGACAGCGTGGGGACCCTGACCTACCAGAAGTGTTCAGAGAAGCTCTGAGAACAGATGACTCTCAGGGCAGAGTGCCAAGTAGGAAGGGCAGAGGCGTGTGGACAGAGCTGTGGGTTAATTGCAAAGAACCATGGCTTCAGCATGCTGGTCACCGTGCTGCTATGCCAATTATAATAGAAAGTACCCTCATCATCACTAAAAAGTAGTCTCTCTTCCCAATACAGGGGTATTTCAGAATGCATTGCCCTGCTTGGCATGTATCCTTCCAGATTTTTCTATGAATATATAACATTTTTTCCTTTTTTTTCTTTTTAACCAAGATATGATCCAACTGTATTTGTAACTTGCTCTTTTGACTTAATAGATGATAAGCATCTCTCCTTGATAATAGACACAGACGTGCCTTTAACACTATTTTAAAGGGCTGTATCATATTTTGTTTAACACATATCAGTTGTATCTATTGTCAGGAAATTAAATTATTTCCAACGCTTCCATATTACGAACAAGTCAGCCACCACCAATTTTCTGGCTAAATCTTTGAATACATCCTTCTTTCTTACAGATAAATTCCCAGGAACAGAAGTCCAGGATTTGAGTGTATTCACCTTTAAGGATTTTGAAAGGACCTACCAAACAGCCCCTTCCAGAAAGATAGCTTCATTCCTCTCTCCATAAGATGTAAGAGGGTTTGTTTTCTCTCGATCTTGCTGACATTGTTTTATAGGCAACACATGGTATTTTATTATTGTTTTATTCTATACTTTTTAATTAGTGAAGTTAAACATCTTTCCTATCAGCCATTTTATGTATTTCTTCTTTATGAGTTGCCTTCACCTGTTTGCAGCACAATTATTTATTGGGGTATCTGTCTTTTTTCCCCTTTCATTTGGAAGTGCTCTTAGCGTGTTAAAATATTCACACTGTCACATTTGTTCTTCAGTTCGTGGTTTGCTTGCAGCTGTGCTTATAGTGTTTGCTATGTTGAAGTGTTGCTGTTTTTTCCTTCATGGCTTTTGCCTTTAGTCACAAACTCTCATAGGTACCACACTGAACACTCACCACTATGGTTACCATGATGCAGATGTTTTTGGTATCCTTCCAGAAAACCATTTGAGGAGTGACTTTTGCAAAATGTACCAGTCTCCCAAAGAATGCAGTCAGGCAGAGCACTTCTGCTATCGAGGTGGCCTGCAAGGAAGAAACAGAGACTGAGCACAGTGGCCTGCCACTGGGAGGTGTAGCTTTAGTGCTCTCGATGCCCCCTCTGCCTGCACCCTACCTGTCCTGCCTGGCACACTCTGAGAATTAGCCGCATCCCTTAATTTTACTGAAAGCTGCAGCAAAATTCTCTGCTGCTTAGAATGGTTTCTTCCCCTCAGAAGGAAACCTGCCGCTGAATCACGAATTCCAGAACCCATACTGGCAGGACTTCTTGGGAGGGGCTCCATCAGCAGGCTGAGGATCAAGAATGCATTCCCCACAAAAAGGGGAGGTCAGAGGCAGGCATCTTCTATGCTCTCAAACTTCCCACATTCAAATTCAGAATAGACATCAAGAAGTCCCATTTCTCTAATATAATATTAAGGTAAATCCCCAAAGATGTGTTTGGAAATAGTGGGTCATTCCTTAAGCATCACTGCCACTGCAGCCCTGCGGCCTGTATCAGGCTGGTTACAGGCAGGGATGGAGCCCTCTGAGATCCAGAGCAAAGTCCTGACCCACCTCCCTCCATAGGCTGCAGGGCACCAACTCCAAACTCCCTAGAGCCAGTTTGCAGCCCACGACTGCAGCCCAGGATTTGCCCAAGATTGCCACAATGCAGTAATACCTCCTTAACAAGGGCACTTTCCTCCATCAACAGGGAGAAGACGGTGGCAACATGGGAAGAGATGGGGAAAGAAGCAACTGGCTTAGGCTAGGAAGAGGGAAAGGTCGGGGTGAGGGCTGGAGGGAAGGGACTCTGAAAGGGGCAGGGGAAGGGCCTGAAAGCAGCTGGTGGCACAATCATCCCTCCCTTCCCCCGGCCCTCGTGGGCACAGCCTGGGCTGCAGCCTGTTGCAAACCTTCTAACTCTCAACCTGTTCACTCTTGAAGAGCTATAGAGACCCACTGCCAAGGCCAGGCTTCCAAAAGGGCCTGGGGCAATTCCAGGACATCCCTGCTCAAAACAAGACTTGCTTGGTAATGCTGGAGCGGGGCCGAACCCCCTATACCACATTCGACTTTAGAGACTTACAGCACAAATGCTGGCTGAGGGAACACTCTGAAACCCAGGCAGCCGGCCCCAAGCTGTAAGTGACCAATAACACACAGAGGGATGAGGACTCGAGAAACGAGGCAAGTGGCTGAGAAGACAACTCTGTGGGATTCCCATCTTGGCCAGGGGGCCAGTGCTGAGGAGGGACAGACAGCACTCTGTCCAGGTCTGAGAAAGCACAGCTCTGCTTCTTCAGACTTTGTTCTGACAGTCACTGGGCTAAAAGTCTTCTGTCCAGAGGATTCATTCATTGCAGGATCTTTATCACGGGGAAGTTGGTGGATGTCACCGTGGCAGCCCCCAACAAACCACACTTCCGGTTTTCATCCCCGGGGTGGTGTCCTCCCATGTTGACTTGGGGCTTGGGCATGTGATTGGCTCTGGCCAACAGGGCATCAGCAAGGGTGACACAAGCAGAGGTTTGACGGTGCCTACACCCCGGAATGCTCCTTTCTGGACCCAGCCACTCACTGGGAGAAGCCTAAGCCACATGGAGCAGCTGCGTAGAAGAGAGCTGGGGCTCTCCAGCCCACAGCTGCAGCCAACAGCACCTGCCAGCCACACGAGAGAGCCATCCTGGATGTTCTGGGCTCCAGAGATCTACAAAGCTTCCAGATATCTACCACTCCAGCCAACACCACCTGAGCAGAAAATCTGCCCAGACTTAAGCCTCACAGTAAGCCCATGAAATGTGCACTGCTGTTATCATCCCCTTTTTAACAGATGAGGATGCTAAGCCTTAGAAAGGGGGTGTAACTTGTCCAAGGTCACTCAGCATCAAGGGTACAACTAGGCCTCAAGCCCAAGTTTTTAGAATTAAATTGACAATGTTGATTATAACAATAGGAACATCAACAAGTAAGATTTTCATGGACCAACTGCAGGGTTTTGCTTCACGTGGCCCAGGGCTCAAAACTAGCCTGAGTTAAATACAACCTACATGGCAGTCAATGTGTTAAATGGTTAGAAAAAAATCAAAGAATATCAATATTTTACAACACATGAAAAGTCTATAAAATTCAAATTCTGGTGTCTGCAAAGAGTGTTTTATTGAAACACAGCCATACTTATTCATTTATGTATTGTCTCTGGCTGCTTGTAAGCTACAATGACAGAGTTGAGTAATTGTGACAGAGACCAGATGATTTGCAAGGTCTAACATATTTACTCTTTGGCCCTTTAGCAGAGAGTCTACTAAATCCTAGCTTTAAACAACAACAGCCTTTTACTATCTGCCATGATGCTGTGGGAGGCTGTTTTAAGTGTTTGTTACACAGCTATAGGTGACTGAAACATGGAAGAATAAAGAAGCAATAGCTTTCACATCAGACAGACTTGGGCTTGAGGCCTAGTTCTACCCTTGTTGAAGAGGGACCTTGGACAAGTTAAACCCCCTTTCTAAGGCTCAGTGTCCTCATCTGTTAAAAAGGGGATGATAACAGCAGTGCACATTTCATGGGGTTACTGTGAGGCTTAAGGAGCATCCAGAGCCAGTACCTAGAGCACCCATCAGACTGTAAGCAGGGAGCAAATGACAGCTATTAAAACCGGGGCAAGAGCAGTGATGAGTGGGAAACCGATATGAGCAGTTTATTATTTAGAACCCCCAGGATTAGCTGGTTAATATGATACATTACTCAAAACATGTATGATCAGCTACTAAGCGCCAATAATGATTTATGACTATGAACACTGAAAATGTGGCACGTACAAGTCGCATGTTACACTATATGAGAACATCGTGTGCTTGGCGTTAACAAGCTTTTAAAACATTGTTTGTACCATCTCTATCTGATTTTTCCTTGTGTGCACAGAAGATCAAAAACTTCCATTGTACTTAAAATGCCTTATGATTGAAGCATCAGCGTGGTGAGTAGACAGAATTCTTCCAACCCCTGACAAGAAAAATAAAATCTAATTTGTATTTGTTGAAATTTGAGAAGAAAAAGGAAGAGGCATGGGGCCCAACTCATCTATGACAAAATATCATTTGCCATCTTAATTGTAATACTTACCAAGAGAGGTAGAGGAAACAATGCAGGTTCTTCAAACAGGGCAAGAGAAAGGTCTACACAAATAAAGAAGTATGTGGCTGCTTGCATTGTCCAGTGGTTATAAAAATAGTAAAGTCTGGAGAGGAAAAAAATAAAGGTGGTTATAGACAAGGAACAGCACTCGACTTCCCTTTAAAAAGACTAATGGTAGGTAAAATAAGGAAATTAAGGCTTAGTCATGTTTCCTTTAAATGCTAGGGAACCAGGGGCAGTATTTAATGATCATATAGTGCAAAACACTAACAGAAAAAAAAGCGCCAAGAACATCATCATATCTCAAAGCACATTTCTCAACAGTCTCAAGCTAGGATTAGCACTTTCCTCACGAGGTCGGTGTGACAGCAATAAGAGAGTATTTTCAGAGGACTTTGAACAGTGACTGATGCAGAGTAAGCTGTCAGTTAAAGTGAGCTACTATGATGTGGCATGGTGGCCTAATCCTTTCTTTTTCTTTTTTAAGAGAGAATATCTCACTCTGTTGCCCAGGCTAGAGTGCCGTGGCATCAGCCTAGCTCACAGCAACCTCAAACTCCTGAGCTCAAGGGTTCCTCCTGCCTCAGACTCCCAAGTAGCTGGGACCCAGGCATGTGCCACCATTCCCAGCTAATTTTTAAATTTTTTTGCAGAGATGGGGTCTCACTATGTTGCCCAGGTTGGTCTCAAACTCCTGGGCCCAAGTGATCCTCCCACCTCAGCCTCTCAAGTAGATGGGATTATAGGCACATATCACCACTTGAGGCTTACCTAACTGGATTTTAAAATGTACATTATCCCATCTTAACATGGCAGACTCAGCAGAGATCAGGTGGTCATGCAGGTCTCTCCCAAGGTGGGGATGGGCCCCCAAACCTGTTCTCAACAGCATCCAGGGATGAGGCACTGGCTGCTTTGCGAGGCCCTGACACCCAGCCTTGGTAATAAGTGTTTTCTCTTTACCCTGGTCCAAATACTTGGTCTTAGTGTCAACCCTTGAGGATAACAGGGAAAATGCCAAATTCCCACGAGAAGAACAAACATATGGATTGCATCAAAAGACAACAGAAAGGGAAAAGAAAAAGCCTTCTTTTCCCTTGAGGTGACTCTAAGAAGACAACTATAGTTAGAAGGAAAAGACAATGGCATGTTCTTCCCTTGAATGTCCTGGCTCCTGTCCTGGGTGTTGTTCATTGACTCATTTATCTGTTTTTAATCCATTTATCTAATGCTTCCCTATGTATGAGGCACCATGATCTTATACCTTAAAAAAAGAAGTATTGGATTTTATCCAAATATATGTGGCATACCCTACATACTTCTCAAAATACTTGTGTAAACCATGCCTTCAAGAGTATTAAGTCCTGGCGGATAGGTGGTTTTATGCGACAGTTTAACATGTTAATTACCTGACGGCCTGAGGTGCTGTTTCAAATGGAACATTTCTGTTATACTGGGCGTCCGACACATAGGCAGCGGCCAGCAGGAGGTCCTGGTCCCCAGGAAATAAGGGAGAGTGACAGTCAGAGTAGGAAAGGACACTTTACTTTTTCCTTTTAGGTATGTGTCAAGTGTAAAAGGAAACTCCCCTTCACCTCTCCCCACGCCCCACCCTCCCCCAAGGTAACCGACATTAGCAGCATAGTATGTACACCTGGGGTGGCTCCCTGGGCACAGAGGACCCTACGGTAGGGCTGAGCCACAGGCATTCTCCACGTTCTGGAATTCAGGCTCTTAGAGGAGGAAAAGAAAGTAAGCACTGAATAGAACCTGTACTTGTACTTAAGTGCTATATTTATGCGTACGAATCTACGGTTATGTGCACACACACACACATACATATAAATACACATACAGTCAAGCGCCACATAATGTTTCAGGTGATGATGGACTGCATATACGGCCGGGGCCCCATGGGATTATAATGGAGCTGAAAATTCCTATTGCCTAGTGACATCATGACATCACGTGATGCCCTAACATCACAGAACCACAAAATACTCACGGGCTTGTGGTGGTGCTTGTGTAAACAAACCTGAGCTGCCACTTGTATAAAAGCCCAGCCCATACAATTACGTACAGTACGTAAGACTTGATAATGATAATAAATAACCATGTTACTGGTTTATGTATTTACTACACTATACTGGTGGCTGCACTAATTTGTATTTCCATCCGCAGGGTACAAGCTCCCCTTTCACTGCATCCTCAACAGGATTTGGTGTTTTTTGTCTTTTTTTTTTTTTTTCAGCATATTATGAGGGTACAGATGTTTAGGTTACGTATGTTGCCCTTGCCCCTCCCGCCCCCCTCCCCCCCTAAGTCCGAGTTTCAAATATGTCCATCCTTCGGGTGGTGCACATTGCATTATTTTAGAGCATACTCCTTTTACTTATATATAAAAAAAAAAGTTAATTGAAAAACAGCCTCAGGCAGGTCCTTCAGGAGGTGTTCCAGAAGGCATTGCCATCACAGGAGGGACCAGAAGTGGAGCTGTCTTCCACCTCCACATCTGATAGTGATGATCCTGACCCTGGGTAGGCCTAGGCTAATGTGTGTGCTTGTGTCTTAGTTTTTAACAAAAGATTTAAAAAGTTAAAAAAAAATTAAGTTTAAAAATAGAAAAAACTTGTAGAATAAGGACATAAAGAAAGAAAATATTTTGTAGAGCTGTAAAATGTGTTTGTATTTTAAGCTAAGTGTTATTATAAAGGAGTCAAAAAGTTAAAAAAAAAAGCTGAAAAGTTTATAAAGTAAATAAGTTACAGTAAGCCAAGGTTCATTTATTATCGAAGAAGGAAACTTTAGAAAAATAAATTTAGTGTAGCCTAAGTATGCAGTGTTTCTAAAGCCTACAGCGGTGTACGGGAATGTCCTAGGGCTGCACGTTCACTCCCCACGCACTCACTCACTCACCCGGAGCAGAGGCCCGTCCTGCAAGCTCCATTCACGGTAAGTGCCTCAGACAGGTGTACTATTTTTTATCTTTTATACCTTATTTTTAGTGTACCTTTTCTATGTTTAGATACACAAATCCTTACCATTGTGTTGCAATTGCCTACAGTATTCAGTACAGTAACGTGCTGTACAGGTTTGTAGCCCTGGAGCAATAGGCTGTACCATACAGCCTAGGTGTGTAGCAGGCTGTACCACATAGGTTTGTGCGAGTACACTCTGTGATGGTCACACAACACAACTGCCTAGTAATGCATTTCTTAGAAGGTATCCCTGTCGTGACACAATGCACGACTGCATAGACACATATATACACAAATACATAACACAAAATTATATGCTATATATATCACAAAAATTCCTTTTATACTTACAAGTTTTGACACAGATGTGGAGCAACTGGAACTCTCATATGTGATTGGTAGGAATGAAAGATGGTACATTTACTTTGGAAAACAGTTTGGTAGTTTCTTAAAAAGTTAAAAAGTATGACCCAGCCATTCTATTAGTAAGTGTTTGACCAAAGGAAAGACAGCATATATCCACACAAAGACTTGTACATCCCAACTAAGAATGTGGCTTATGTTAGACACCCCATTGCAAAGCTGCACTTGTACACAGATGCTCATCACAACTTAACAGGCAAAGAGTAGAAACCACCAAAATGTCCATGAGACAGGCGAGTGTACAAACAAAATGTAATGTATCTACACAATGGAATACTACTCAACAATAAAAAGGAATGAACACCTAATAGATGCAACAGAATGGATGAATCTCAAACATAATTATGCTGAGTGAAAGAAGCCAACCCTCTCCCCCAAAAGAATACACACTGTATGATTGCATCTATTTAAAATCCTAGAAAGTGCAACTAACCTACAGAAACCAGATCAGTGGTTGTGGGGGGACAGGGGGAGGAGGGGATGGAGAGAGGGATAGATGACAAATAGGTAAAAGGAAACTTTTAAGTGTGATGGATATATTCATTATCCTGATGGTGGTGTTACCACGATAAGTGTATTCACGTACCCAAACTTATCAAGCTATATACTTCAAATAAATGTAGTGCAGTGCATGTCTATTATAGTTCAATAAAGCTGTTTAAAAATGCCTGAAAATAAAGATAAATGCTTGGATGAAAAATTGATGTGGAACAATAATCTCATAGATAATTAACTGCTGCAAGAACCTATCACTATGGGGGGGGCACTGGTGACTAAGGGGATTGTGGTTCTCAACTGCTACAGCATATGACAAGCATCTCAGGAGCTTTTAAAGACCCCACCATGCCCAGGTCACATCCAGACCAATTGCATCAGAATCTCTGGTAGGAGGGACCCAGGATTAATCTTTTAAAGTTTGCAAGTGATTCAAACATGTAGTCAAGATTGACAGCCACTGGTTTAAATGGGGCCATTTTCCTACTGTTTCTCATGTTTTCTATTTTCACTGCACTATGACAATTAAAGGATTTCTCTTCACTTTCTCCTCTTCTCATAGCTCTACAATTCTCTTCCTCTCTCCAAGACTCAAAAATGTATTTAAGATTTTTGTGTTTTCTCTCCTCTTCCCCAACTTTGTAAGCCTTCATTCTGGGGAAGATGAATCCCTTTGAATCCCCCAAAGGGAGAAAAGAATGTAGGAGGGAGGGAAAGATTGATTCCAGAAGCTCTCAGTAGGGAGCACGGAAGTTCCTTCTCTAAGCACCCACCAAACACCTTCTTCAGTCTTAACTGCAATAGGAATAAACCACTGCAAGTCCCAAATACCTTTAATTCAGTCAACAAGAATGCATGCAAAACTCAAGATTGTTGATAGAAGTTTCTTGAAAACATAGCTAATATGTCTTGTTTATATAGATAAGAAAATTAACATAATTAACCATAATTTAAGGTAAAGAGAAGTTCCCACAAATTCGAAGTTAAATTCTTCCCCATCTCCGTTTTTCCTTCCGATTGTGATGCTCCTTCCATCACTACAAACACTACCCAGCCCCTCCCTTACCAGAAGGGGGTACTTTCCAAGACTCTCAGTGGACACCTGAACCCAAGGATAGTAACGAACCCTATAATACTGGTCTTTCGATCTGATAACCCAAACAGCTACTAAGTGACTAACAGGGTTGGGGGTGGAGGGGGGGTTGTGTCTACTACACGGATATAAGGGACAAAGGGATGATTCAGGACAGAGCAGGATGTCCACAGATTTCATCATGCTACTCAGAACAGTGTACAATTTAAAACTCATGAATTGTTTATTTCTAGAATTTTCCATGGAATATGCTTGGACTATGGTTGACCTTGGGTAACTGAAACCACAGAGAGCAAAACCACAGATAAAGGAGACTTACCATACTCTCTGTCTGTCTCTCTCTACCTCCCTCTATCTTCCCGCAGGATCCTTCTGCACACTGACAGAATAGAGTCGATCACTGCTTTCCCCGTGGACCCCCATGCAAAAGCATTGAGTGACTTCTCTTTGCCTAGAGTGACTCCCCTTTCCTAGACAATCAAGTGCAAAACTCCTGGCTTAGCATTTAGTGGCTCCACAATCTCCCCTCTACTCCTCTCTCCATCTTTATCTCCCCCACTTTCCCTACAGGGACACTCTTCTCTGGCCAAAACTGGTGGACTCATTGTCTACTGTCCTACCGTGGGCCGCGTCTCCACGTCTAATTTCACGGTCACTAAAACCAGGAGCATCCTTCCCACTGTCCTTCATTGGAGGCCCATCTCAAATTCACTGTCTACGTGAAGACTGGCAATCCCAGAAGCCTCTATTTCCATATGGAAAGACTGCCTGGAGAAGTTGGGGCATGTATTGTGGGCATTCCATGCAAAGAAATGGTTGTTAAGGATAAGATGGGGCACAGCAATTGATGTGGCAATGAGGTGTTCCTATAAATACCTCATGTCACTCTATATAGAAAGTTGCACATCAACAACAAACAGGCCAAGTGCTGTCTAAAGATGTGTTTTGTTTGGCTCAGAGAATGCTTTTTGGATGCTGGCTACTCATTCAAATATTTTAAAAACTGGAGCTTACACAAAAATTTGAACTTCTGGCTTCTCTTTAAAAGATTGTAACATCTGGTAATGTTGGGATGTATTTTAGTAAGTTTTTGCTACCCACCCTGATTCTTAGTCACCTGAATAAACACTTATTATTTTCCCAAATTCTGTGGGTCAGCAGGGCAGTCCTGGTCTGGGCCAACCTAGCTGATCTCTATGGTCATCATGGTCTTGGGTAGCCTCACTCATGTGTTTTGGCCATGTGCATCGCATCCCGCCGCAGGCCAGCCAGGGCTCCCCCACAAGGTGGTGGTCGGGGGGTTCCTGAGAACATCAGGAGAGCACGCACCAGTGCTCAATTGCTTTTACACCTCTGCTTATGTCATATCTGCTAAGGTGCCATGGCCACGTCCACATTTGAGGGCTGGAGAAGCAGACTCCACCTTTTGAGGAGCTGCAAAGGCACATTGCGGAGATGGCGTGTATTTAGCGGTAGAAAGACTTTTTGGCTATTTTTGCAATCTGTGATAGTCCATGTGGCCACAGTCAGCTGGAGGTAGGTAGCTGTGGTCTTCTTTGGGAAGGAGACATGCCCTCCAGGTAATCTCAAGGCCCACTCCACTCCTTCACTGAATCATTCCTGCCTAGCCCACTGGCTTTATGGTGCTCCTCGGACCACCTGAGTTAACCAACATTCTCCCAAGCCCTCCTGGTTACTGCCACATTCCCCCTGCAAAGAACTGCTCTGCAACTCACTCTAAGGTAGCACCAGGGGACCGAGAGCCCAAAGCAGGATAATCCGAGATCTGCATGAACAGGTTTAAGAATAAGAACATTTTTTAAAAGCCCATGAAGTATCAAGAGGTGAACTGTCACAAAGAGATGGCATAGGACACTATGCTCTCAGCCCTGGCTGTACTTTTGAATCACTTAGTAGC